TAGATTAAAATATTTGCTTTGCAACAGTTACCATTAAACAAAACAAAGTGAGGAGCTGGTGATGAGTCAGTGTAAGCTCTATCAGAATTTAAACTATTTTTAATAGATGGAAAATCCAGTATTCAGATTCAAATGGAATTGCAAAGACCCCTGAATAGCCATTTAAGAATATTCTTAAACTGGGCGTGATGGTACACATATGGACTCCCATCTCCTTGGGAGGCTGAGGCAGGAAGATTACAAGTTTGAAGCCAACCTGGGCAATTTAGTGAGACCTGACTCAAAAAATAAAAAGGGTTAGAGTGTGGGTCAGTGGTAGAGTGCCCTTAGGTTCAATCCACAGTACCACCAAACAACAAGAACAAAAAATAGGAGGGTTAACATTTATTTATTTAGCTAGCTAGCAGTGCTAGAGATTGAGTCCAGTATTTCACACTTGCTAGACAAGTCCTCCAGTGAACTATTCTAACCTCCAATTTTATAGTTCTAACCTCCAATTTTAAAATTTAATACAGTGCTACAGTAATCAAAATTATGGTACTGGCATAGGGTAGAATTTAGAATCCAGAAATATATCCATACATTTAGAGCCTGTTGATTTCAACAAGGGTGCCGTGACCATTTAGTGGCAAAATGTTTCTTTAACAAGTACTGCTAGGACAACTGGATTTTCATATGTAAAAGAATGAAGTTCTACCCCTGCTACACACTGTGTATAAAAATTAACACAAAATGGATCAAAAAGCTAAATATAAAAGCTAAAACCATAAGGCTATTAGACGATAACATAGAGCTTAACTGTTCATGACTTTGGATTTGGCATTGCATTCTTACATGTGGTAAAAACATAAACAACAAAATAAACAGACGAAATTTAATAAAAATATATGAATCATAATACCAGTACAACATACCAGAATTATGGGATACAGTGCAACAATCCTCTGAGGCAAGTGTACAGCTGTGAATGCCCACATCAGAAAAACAGAGCAAGCTTAAATAAGTAACCTAATTAAAAAAATTTAGAAGTTTTGGCATGGTACTGGAACAAAAACAGATACATGGAGCAGAATTGAAAATACAGAAACTCAGAAACTTCCTCAGACACATTCACCTATTTGATCTTTGACAAAGGGGCCAAAAGAATATGTTGTTGAAAGGATGGCCTGTTCGACAAATGGTGCTGGGAAAACTGGTTATCTATGTGCAAACTGGACCCTTATCTCTCACCATATACTAAATTAAAAGCAAAATGGTCAGAAATCTAAACATTAATCAGAAACATTAAACCTACTAGAAGAAAAAATAGGTAAAACTTTAAGACATAGGTGCAGGAAAGGAATTTCTAAACAGAACCTCAGTTGTACAAGAAACAGTAGCAAGCATCAACAAATGAAATTATATCAGACTGAAAACCTTCTGGACAGCAAAAGAATCAGTAAAGTAAAGAGACAACCTACAGAAAGGGGAAAAAAGTTTTGCCAGCTACTCCTCAGCCAGAGGACTGATCTCTAGAGGATACAGAGAACTGAAAAAAATTAAACCAGTTTAAATTAAAGATTCAGTCAAGAAATGGGCAAGAGAAATGAACAGACAGTTCAGAGAGGAAGAAATACAAATGGTCAGCAATATATGAAAAAATGCTGAACACCTCTGGAAGCTAGAGAAATGCAAATTAAAACAATGCTAAGATTCCATCTTACTCAAGAAAAAGTGGCAGTCATTAAGAAATCAAGTAGTAACCAATGCGGGCACGGCTGTGGTGACAAAGGAACCCTCCTTCATTGTTTGGGAATGCAAACTAGTACAACCATTATGGAAATCATTATGGCGATTTCTCAAAGAATTGAAATTAGAAATTCCATATGACCCAGCAATCCTTCTGCTAGGTACCTGCCCCCAAAGCTTAAGACCTCATACTGTAGTGGTACATACATACCAATGTTTATAGCAGCACAACTCATAATAGCTAACTGCTGGAAGCAGCCTGTCTATCCATCAACAGATGATTGAATAAAGAAAATATGGTATCTGTATATAATGGAATACTACCCTGCTATAACAAATGACAGATTTGAACCATTTATAGGAAAATGGATGCACCTAAAAAATATAATGTTGAGTGAAATAAACCAGGCACGCAGGTTTAAATACCATATGGTATCTCACATTTGAGTAAGGCAAAGTACAAAAAATAAGGATGGATAGAAGGGGACAAGGAGATGGATCTTCTGCAGTGAGGAAGTGGTTCAAGAGAAAAAGCATGAGGGGTGAGGAGGAGGGGAAATAAGTAAAGATGTGCCATGGACAGGAACATAATAACCTCAATTAATATGAACATTATATACCATAACAATAGGTAAGATTAACAGTATCAACAAGAATGAAGGAAGGGATAGAGGAGTTGGAGGAGGGTGGGAGAGAGAGGGAGCGGGAAAGGGATTAACAAAAAGAAACAAGCTGTGGTAACCATACACGTAACCACTCCCCAGGATAATTGTAAGCGGCATGAACTCCAAACATCTACTAATAAGTTAAAAAAATTTTAAATGTAGAAGTTTTGTGCATCAAAGGGTGTTACCAACAAGGTGAAAAGACAACTGACAGAATGGGAGAAAATATTTGTAAATCATGTATCTAATATATGTAAATCATGTATCTAAGTCCAGAATATATAGGAAACTTGTATAATTCAGCAACAGAAAACAAAAAATTCTATTACCAGTGGGCAAAGAACTTCAATAGTCCTTGAGCAGAGGATCCATTTATCAATGCCTGGATTCTACACCCACAAAACTGAGCTAAGAAGTAAATTCATGTTCAAGTGACCCTTTGTAGTCATTTGTCATTCAGCAAAAAAAGAGGAATACACAACCACATTTCACTGGGTGTCAACAATAAGATACAGTCATGTATTTTACAATTTTAGTGATGAAGTTATGTAATTTTATGCATTTTGGTGTATAAACTTGTTCCAAATGAAAAAAAAATATATATATATATACAGTTGGTCCAAAAGCACAGGAAGAGATGCTCAACATCACTAGTCTTTACAGAACGCAAATCAAAAGCACCATACTTCTTCACAACCATCAAGATGAATGTTTTTTAAAAAGGAAGAATAACAGGTGTAAGCAAGGATGTAGAGAAAGGGAACCTGTGTGTATTGCTGGTGGAAATATAAACTATATATATATGTGTGTGTGTGTGTGTGTGTATATATATATATATATATATTTCAGTACTTGGTGTGTGTATGTTCTGTGTGTGTGTATATGTGTGTATTTCAGTACTTTGTGTTATATATATACTTCACTACTTTGTTACTGCTATAACAAATACATATATATTTGTTATAGCACTATTAACAATAGTTAAAAGGTTGAAATAGTTGCATACCATGCCTCATGCCTGTAATCCCAGCTACTTAGGTGGATTCTAGGCCAGCCGAGGAATTCAGTGAGACCGTGTCTGAAAAAAAGGATTGGAAAGAATGTAATTTAGTGTGAGACCCTAGCTTCAAGTCCCAATACCACATACACACACACACACACACACACACAAAGGAGGAGGGGGAGGGGAGATGAGTGGATAAACAAATTGTGGTATATACATACAATGGAATATTGTTCAACCACAAAAAGATACAAAGTTGAGCATGCTGATACACACCTGTAGTCTCAGCACTCTGGAAGACTGATGCAGCAAGATCACAAGTTCCAGGCCATACTGGACCACCTAGCAAGACCCTATCTTAAAATTTGAAACAAATATTTTTTAAGGCCAGGGATATACCTTAATGGTAGAGTATTTGCCTAATGTGAGTTCTTGAGTTCAATCCCTATATTGAAGGGGTGAACAAGAAATAAAATGAAATACTGGTGTGTTCTGAAATATGGATAAGCCTTTGAAACGTTATGCTGTGTGAAAAAAGCCAGACATAGTGATCATATATAGCATGGTTCCATTTAGATGAAATATTTCAAATAGATAAATGCATAGAAACAGAATGTGATTGGTGCTCAGTGAGAGGAAGGCAACGCTGTAGATTGTAGTATAGGGAAAAGAGAGAAATAAATCAGTTTCAGATTAAATATTCAAAGGATCGCCAGGCATGGTGGCGCGTACCTGTAATCCTAGCACTTGGGAGGCTGAGGCAGGAGGATCATTCCAAATTCAAGACCAGCCTAGGCTACAAAATGAGCTCTAGGCCAGCCTGAACTGCATAGCGATACCCTGTCTCCAAAGGATTAAAGCCATTTGAAAATATTATATCAGTAAGTTAGATGAGATGACATGAAGGGAACAGTGGGAAATAAAAACAAATAAATATCTTACCATTAACTTATTTCAGCCAGAGGCCAGAATTTAACCTCAGTATAATGTCAGTATATTGTTTAGGAGACATGAAAGAGGCCCATGCACTTTTTCAGGTTAGAATCATAAATCTTGTCATCTTAAATCTTAATAAGAACAAAACAAAATATTAGTGATTTCATTAAAGACCTCATATATAAGTTAGCAGAATTAAGGAACAGTATGCTTCATAGGTATGTAGAGAAAAGCCTCATACGTCAGATGTTGAAGAAGGCCAATCACTTAAATACGGCACATTGTTTCAGAGTTAAATTTCCAGGTATGTATCCTCAAAGAATCCAGTAAGTAGGAAAAACTGCAGTTAGCTAAAGTAATTTTAATTATTTAAGTGCAGCAAAAAAAGACATCAGATAAATGCAAAACATGTAGTGTGCAGGTTGTTGTACAAATCACCTATAAACTCTACAGTGAATTTTTGTATATGCTGATTTTTTAAACTAATGTTGATTATGATTTTTTACTTTGTTTCCGTAATTGGTTAGCCACTTTGTCAGGTTTTTTTTTTTCAGTTTAATAATTATTATTTTGTTACTTTTTTCGTTGAGGAGATGGGGTCAAACCATGTCAGACAGAAAAATGCCCATTCTTGGGAGAGTAAGATTAACCCTCTTCTTTGATCGCAGATGATGAAAGCCATGAACAAGTCCAATGAGCATGTCCTTGCAGGAGGTGCCTGCTTCAATGAAAAGGCAGACTCTCACCTGGTGTGTGTACAGAACGATGATGGAAACTATCAGACCCAGGCTATTAGTATTCACAATCAGCCCAGGAAAGGTAAGCATTTGAATTGGTTGAGATTTTGATAATGGAAGGTTATTCTCAAGTTAGAGTATTGGATAGCTCAGCTCTACACTACTTACTTTCTAGTTAGGTGACTACAAACAAATTATCTTTCTAAGCATATTCTCCAGGATTATGTTGACTCCCCAAGAAGCCATACTTAAGGTTATAAGTGAGACCTTTGTTGTAAGGGGTGTTTTAAATGTATTGTCTTGGGATATCGACAGCCTGCATTGGTATTTGAGGGTGAGACTGGGCCAATGATGATAAACCCTTTAGAGCTTTCGGTGATACAAACAGCCCACTGCAGCGTGTGCTGCTCACTACCTTTGGACTAGGCCCTTTAGTGATAATCCCTTTAGGACGATTTGAAGTTTGGTAAATGTTAAACAGGTTGACAGGGTTCCTATGGAAGACATCAAGCTTTAGTGCTACTTGGAATGTGGCCTTATCACTTAGATTGTTAGAAATGAAGAATCTACTAATCAGATATCTGCTAAATAGAGTTCTAGCAAGATCCCTGAGTACTTCAGATACACATTAGAGTTTGAGAAGCCTTGCTCAACATGACATTTCCCAAAGTGTTTCCTCAGATTCTGTGGTTTTAAAAAATGTTCACATAGGCCAGGTATGATGTCTGTAACCCACGTGTTACCGTCCACTCAGGAGGATGAGATAGGAGGATGGTGAGTTCAAGGACAGCCTGGACTATATATAGCAAGACCCTGTATCAAAAAAATTTTTTTGTCTCATGTAAATAAATAGATGGTGGGCATGGTAGCACACACCTGTAATTCCAGCACTTGGAAGGCTGAAGCAGGAGGATTGCTGTGAGTTTGAGGCCACCCTGGGCTACAAAGTGAGTTCAAGGCCAACCTGTACTGCATGGTGAGACCCTGTCTCAAAAAGAACCCCCCCCCCCAAAAAAAAAAAAAAAAGGCCAGGGATGTAGCTTACAGGTGCAGTGCCTGCCTGTCAAGTGCAAGGTCTTGAGTTTGATCCCTGGTACCCAAAAGATAGATAGATAGATAGATAGATAGATAGATAGATAAATAAAACAATCTTCCTTAATAAATTAAATCTCAGAAACTGTGCTAAACAAGTTTCTGTACCACTGGACTTTTCAAAACATTTAACAAGCTGTGAGTATTCTGATTTTATAAGAGGAGGATAGTATCTAGCTCTTTCCAAATTTATTTGGCCACAAATTTTTTTTCCCTCAGAGTAGCTCCCAAAACTGTATTTCTTTAGTCTGTTTTGTGAAACTCTTCTCTAGTGGGTATATTGTAAGTCACTATCTTCAGTGTGTTTTTAAAATCAGTTGTTCAGTAAAGGTATAAAAGGTATTTAACACATGTACATCCAAATACAATATCCAAAATAAAGTGATGGTAAGTTCACAATGCTCTCTATTCATGAGATCATATCTAGACTATTTGAATAAATTCTGGATATCATTAACGGGAGTATATTGATAAAACTAGATTGGGTCCAGAGGATGATTTAAGAACTGTGAGAAATAGCAACCAAAGGAAGACTTGAATAAAGACTTGTAAAAATGTCTAACATAGAAAGGAATACATTGGAAGAGGGTGAAAAATAGCTACATCTAATGTTTAAAGTTATTTGCTATGTGAAAATAAGATTCAACTTATTCTCTATTGCTACAAAAGGACAGAACTAAAGTTATAGGGAGCCAGATCTGGGCTCAGTTTGAGAGCGTGCTCTATAACTCTGAGATTGTCTGCAAGCAGACTGGGTTGCCTTGTGCTCTTGTGGGCTCCCCATCACTAGCAGCGTCTGGCCAAGGCTGGATGCCCACCTGGTGGAGAGGTTGTGGGGCCACGTTGCATTAGCCCAGTTCCGTTTAAAATGCAGGAAAATGACAGTACAGTGATGGTTTCATAAAGCTAAGTGTAACTGCACATCTTTTTTACGTAGAGATCATGATAGTAGGCATTTGTCTTTTAAATAGTCTTTTTGAGGCTTTGTAGGTCTGTAATATTTGTCACAACTACTCAGATCTAGTGTTGTAGTACAAAACTGCTTTAGACAATATATAAATGAATGGGCATAGTTGTGTCCCAGTAAAAGTTCATTTACAGAAATAGTCTGCAGCTGACCAGATCTCAGTTTGCTGAGCCCTAGACTTGACTATTAAGATCTCTTTGCTTCTGAGGTTCTTTGATTCTTCATTGGAGGAAGTGGAAGAGAAACTTCAAACTTCTTTTCCAAAGCTATCATAAACATGAGAATTCCTGGTTACTTGTGTATTGTAGTATACAGATTGTTTTTTTAAAAATTTTCTCTGTGATGTTTCTGTTTCCCAGTTACCAGATATTTCATTATTATTCCAAACCTCTCCATCTCAGGGTCTGTCTTCATGAACTTTTTCTGTTGTTTTTTTTAGTGACTGGTGCCAGTTTCTTTGTGTTTAGTGGCGCCCTGAAATCCTCTTCAGGATACCTTGCCAAGTCCAGTATTGTGGAAGGTAAAGAATGAATTGTTGGCTGCATGTGCATTAGTTCAGTCTTAATTATACAACTGAAAAGCCAGGAACACTGGGAGAAGCCTCACCCCTTTTACTGTTGATGTCCAACCCCTATTATTTATTCAATGGTGTCTCACTCTTCAGCAAATTAAAACTGCTATGAGAGTGTTTAGTTCTCCAAAAAGGGAGTCAGTTATAAACATTGTGGGACAGAGACATAAAAATTGAGACCTTTCATAGCTCTGGGATGAGGTACTGAGGGAGTGCATGTGAGATCAGATATATCATTGGATGCAGGTATATAAATGTGCAGTGAAATTCATCCATCTTACAGGAATACTATGGTCATCATTTGAGGTGCAGAATGAGATGTGCTTGCTGTAGGGTTGCTATAATTGGACATGATACATGGCTTAAAACAACTGTTTTATCATGTTGGTTGATTCCTTCTGTGAGACATACTGACAGGAGGGGCCTGGCATGGTCGCGCACGCCTGTAATCCCAGCACTAGAGACATATTGACAGGGCTGTGCAGGGATAGGCTAACGTGATGTTTTGGGGTGTCTCCGTTGGGATTACTTAACAATGGCAATATTTTGATGTCAGCAAGCTGGAGTTACCCAAAGGACTGCTCACACACGTGCTGGGTCCTGGCCTGGGTTACTTAAAAGCTAGGTGGAACACTGGAGTACTTCCTTCCGGACTCAGCGTGGTGGGCGCCTTGGGGTGGTTGTGCTCCATCCTTAGTGGCTCAGGCCTCCAAACACAGGTGTTACAGCAATGAGGTCGGTGCTGCCTTACCTTCTGTGACCCAGCCTTGAACGTCACAGTGTCACTTCCACCAGACTCTAGTGTTGGAAAAAGGGAGAGGAATTTGAATGCAGTTCCTTTTTTTTTTTTTGTACTGAGAATCAAACTCAGGACCTCGTGCTTGCCAGGCAGGCACTGTGCCACTGAGCTGTGTCCCTGGCTTTGACTGCACTGTTGGAGGGGATGTGTGGTGGCAGCATTCTAGAAGAGCACAGGGCTATCTTTGGAAAATAACCACACGCGACGATGTTTTCATTTCCACAGTAGCTCACTCCAAGGTCCTGTCTATAAGCAGGGCAGGATTCCACTGTATTAATTGAAATGAATAATCTTATATGTATAGATTTTGGCTTTCATCTTTTTTGGTAAATTTAATAAAACAGTGAGTAAAATATAGAGTACATCAGTATTTTACAACTACATTTCATAAATCTTTTTTTTTCTTGAGACATGGTCTTGCCAAGGTTGGCCTCAAACTTGCAGTCCTCCTGCCTCAGCCTGCTGACTGCTAGGGTTACATAGGTGTGTGCCACCACATCCAGCTTTAACAGTCTCTTAACAGCAATTTTGTTTCTTTTCATTTTTGGTTCTTTTGAGACAAAGTCTTATTATACATACTCACTGTGTAGCCCAGGCTGGCCCAGAACTCACAGCAATCCTCTTGCCTCAGTTTCCTGAGTGCTGGGAACTACAGGTATGTGCCACTATTCCCAACCATTCTTTTGCTTTATAGTCAAGACTTGTAAAGGCCAGGTGTGGTGGGCACACCTGTGATACCAGTACTTTGTGAGGCTGAAAGGGGAATATCACACGTTTGAAGCCAGCCTGGGTTACACAGCAACACCCTGCCTTAAAAAAGAATTTTTTGAAAAGGCTAGATGCCCATCGACAGACAGATGGGTAAAGAAAATGTGATATATATACACAGTGGAGCCATAAAAAAACATGAATTTGAGTCATTTTTAGGAAAATGGATGGATCTTAAGGCCACAGTGTTAAGTGAATTAAATCAGACACAGGTTAAATATCCATACATATAAATATAAATAAATTAAACAGTAAAATAAAAGGGCGATAGTAGGAAACAGAAAGGTAGACTTTTTGGAGTTGGGGAAGGGGAGCAGAGGAAACGGGGGAGAGGAGAAGAAGGGAAAGAAAGGAGGTCGAAAATGCTCAAGATACAATCTGTTTATGTACCGGTGCCTCCAAATGAATGTGATTGTTATGTGCCACAGACATATTTTATTGCTATAACTTACACAGAGCTAGGATGTGGCAGGATTGGGTTTAAAATCACTTCCTGGCACTTTGAATCCTACATTCTTTCCCAGTATGTGGCAGTTCTATTCTAACAGTTTTAAGCCCAAACGTTGGAGTACTTTTTATACTTTTCTCCTTATTAATATGTGTTTGTGATACACAATAACTTAAATATTTTTTAAAAGAAATTATTAGCTGGGCGTGGTGGCGCACGCCTATAATCCCAGCACTCAGGAGGCTAAGGCAGGAGGATTGTTGCGAGTTCGAGACCAGCCTGTGCTACAAAGTGAGTTCAAGGCCATGCTGAACTGCATAGTGAAACCCTGTCTCAAAAAAACAAAAAGAAAAAGAAAGTATTAAGTAGTTGGGCATGGTGACACACCCCTATAGTCCCAGACACGGGAAGCTGAGACTGAAGGATCACTTGAGCTTAGAAGTTTGAGGCCAGCTTGGGCAGCATAGGCAGACACTGTATCCAAAGACCAAACAAGCAAAAAAAAAAAAAAAAATTTAGGAGTTGAACAGTCTCATTTGGTCTGGAGTGACTAGTTAATACCTATGTAATCAAGTGTGGACTATTGTTGAAGTTGTGTCTTTATAAAGTAAAGAGCACACTTTAATGTTGGTAAAATGATAAATTGAATGGACACAGATCCTTATAAATGCAAAGCAGTATTTTTAAAGGCTATGTGTTTATGTCTATGGGTGGGAATTTCTTAGGTCTTGCATTTCATGGTGTGTTTAGTAAAACATGTGGCTGACTGCCTGTTTATAAAATCTTTATTGAGGCTCCTTAGAAATTATCTCAGCAGACAGAAATGTGTTATCAGCAAACCAGGATAAGTGTTCAGCAGTGACAACTTCACCCTCTATTTCAGTGTTTACCTTTGACTGAGGCAGACAGCTGCTGAAAAGCTACCATCTGCTGGCTGTGTTCCCCATATGGAACTCTGTTACAGCCTTGCCCTACTGGCTGTCAATAAATGGATTTATTTCTAAGCCTATTACTATTGTTTATTTGATGATTTAATGAACACACACTGGGCATTTCACTGTATGCCAGATGATCATAGTAAGGTGAGATAGGTAGGTAGGTAGGTAGATAGACAGATAAAAGAAGGAAAGAAAGAAAGAAAGAAACAAAACAAAACAAACATAATGATCAGAGCATTGTAAATGCAACAGGTGCAACTGAAACGAAATGCTCCATGAATCCAAAAGAGCAAAGTGACCATTTGTAAGTTTTTCCTTTGAACAATCTCAGGAGAAGCTTTTAGTGGTGTCTGAAATGAAATCAGCAGGCAAGTGTTTAAGCAGAACCCATCTTGGTGTTTGTTCTCATGACTTTTTCAAAAAGTAAAGAGATTCTGCTCAACAAAATCACCTTGTGTCTGTCAGCTTGGGAGAGCAGAACAAAATTTTGCATTTAATATTAGAGGGATTTGCTAGATACCAGGTGCTGTGTTTCGTCTGTCCCCTTCCCTGGCTTTGCACTGTTTCCATTTGTATTATCTTGATGCTGATTCTTAGATGGCGTCATGGTGCAGATCACCGCTGAGAACATGGATTCGTTGAGGCAGGCACTTCGAGAGATGAAGGACTTCACCATCACCTGTGGGAAGGCGGATGCAGAGGACCCCCAGGAACACATCCACATCCAGTGGGTGGATGATGACAAGAACATTAACAAGGGGTAAATGCAGCCAGCCTCATCCCTGTGGCACTTAGAGGATCGGCTCTGGGTCTTGTCTGCTGTCTACATTCATATTTTACAGTTTTATTGAAAGCCCACCTAAGAAAAAGGACTGTATAACATAGAATTCTAAGTTTCTGGTATCTTAGCTTAATTTCTGAAGGAGTTTCTGTATTTTTGAGGAAAGAATAAGGGGGATGATTAATGAAACAAAAACATTCCTTCAAAAGTTACTGAGATAATAGAAATACCTACTACCTATCCTGGTGTGGTGGTGCACACCTGTAATCCCAGCACTTGGGAGGCTGAGGTAGGAGGATCACTGCAATTTTGAAGCCACCCATGAACTACATGGCAAGACCCTATCTTAGAAAACAAAACAAAACAAAAAAGAAATGTCTAACCTTTTTTCTAATATTGTTTCATTTTATATAATAGATAGTTAAATAAGTACCAAAAGGCTAAATAACTTACCAGGTCCACAAAAGCAGGATACGGCAGGATTGGATTTAAAATCACCTCCTTGTGCTTCAGGTCCCATACTCACTCCCAGTGTACTGTATGGCAGTTCTGTTCTAAGGGCTGAAGTGCAAACTTTGGTGTCTTTTTTACACTCTTCTTTCTTTCATACCCCACACCCAGTCCAAGAGCAAATCCTGTTTTCTGCACTTCAAAATATATCCAGAATCATGCTACTACTCATCACCTCTGGGGCTACCATCGCAGTTTAAGCCACCCTCTCATTTGATCCAGATTATTGCATTAGGTTCTTAATTATTTTCTTGTTTCCAGTTTTAGCCTTCTCCTGCCTCCCAACCCAGTCTGTGTCCAGTTACAACAGCCAGAGTAATGTCACTGCTCAGACTTCCCAGTGGCCTCCAGTGTTATTCAGGGAAAAAACCAAAGTCATTTATGACCTGAAGGCCCTACACAACCTATGCATCCCTCTTTCCAGCCTGCTACCTCTCAGGAGCAACACTCATTTTAAAATACTTGGACACAACTATACTTCTTAGTTGACCTCTTCCCTATAAATCACTCCCTGTCCTCCTCCAAATCTTTTCCAAAATGTCACTTTCTCAGTAAGGCCTTTCCCGATCAACTCATCTATAGTTCAATGCTGTCATACACATTTCTCTGTCCTACTCGATATTTTCTACCCGCCATCCCTGCATTGTGTTTCTCAATAGCGTAACTCTCTGAATGTAAATATACATACATACATACACACACACACGTGTATACATACACATACAGAATGTATACACACTTTAGGAAAAGAAGAACTTGTATAAATATTTTAACACTAAATTTATTGAGACATCATGAGATTAATACAAGTTACTTTTGGCCTCTGCAATTACAAGAGGTGCTCAAAGTGGTGGCCATTAGCTTCCAGACATTTAGTAGTATAGCAAACTGCTGCTTGTGTAGCCTTCGTCATCAAGATTGTTGCACATGCATTTTTAACTTCTCTAAGGGACTGCAGTCTAGTGGGTTTTCTACAATATATGACATCCTCTAGGGTCCCCCATATGAGGATAACACCATCTGATGAAAAAACATCATTCTTTTCCTGAAGGTGTATTTGCTTTTTTGGTGGACTCTGTATATATATGTATGTTTGTAGGTATGTATGTTTGTTTTGGTTTTTGGTCTTTTTGGTTTTTTGTTTTTGCTTTGGAGACAGTCTTGCTATGTAGTTCAGGCTGGCCTTGAACTCATCATGTAGCCCAGGCTGCCTCAAACTCACTGTAATCATCCTGCCTCCGCCTCCTAAGTGCTAAGATTACAGGTGTGTACCACCATACGCAGCTCTGACAAAATATCTTCATTTATTTAACTACATTGCTCCTGGAATGTAAACTCCTTAAGGGCAGGGGTTTTCACCTGTTTTATTTATTGCTATATCACCAGCACCTAAAACACTATTTGGCATCTAGTAGGTATTTAAATAAATTGATTAAATAAATATACCATACTTCATTATATTAACCATTCTTACATTCCATCCATTCACTTATCCATCCTCCCATCCATCCATTCAGGCTATGTCAGAGTTCTAGCAATACAAAACTGCTTGCTTTGGCAGCACATACACAAAAATTAGAAATACAAAATTGAATTCCAGGGACTAGGGATGTAGTTAGGTGATAAAGTGTATGCATAGCATGTGTGAGGCCCTGGGTTCAATCCCCAGCACTAAACAACAAAAGGTAAAAGTGAATTCCATGTCCCTGCCAACAAGTGGTTCAGTCTAGTTTTGGAGTTACAAATAAATGAGTGTGTCATTGTATGCAAGATGCTGACAGAAAACTACTATAAAGGATATAAAGATCTTACAAAGAAAAAAAAAAAAAAAAAAAACAGGAAACCTGGTGGATGTGGTAGGACAGTATTCAAGAAAGACTAAGCAGAGAAACAGCTGGTGCGTTAGCTGAACCTGACAGAATGAGTAGGTCTTGCTACAAGGCTGTGACAGAAGAGCTCTTGCATGTTGAGAGAATCTTAAGAGTAAAGAAACATAGAGGGCATTTAGAACATAGCATGCAGGCTTTTTTCATTGAAAATTTTTTTAAATGAAGCAGTTTTGTTTTCCTTTCTTCCTTCCTATCAAACCCAAGGCCAAAGCATACACTCTACCACTGAGCTATTCCCTCCCTCCCCG